CAGGTCGAAAAGCATTAAACATTTATGGCAATTTAGCTAGCTAGCTTGCTGTTGCTAGCTAATTTGTCCTGGGATATAAACATTGGGTTGTTATTTTACCTGAAATGCACAAGGTCCTCTACTCCGACAACTAATCCACAGATAAAAGGGTAAACCGAGTTTGTTTCTAGTAATCTCTCCTCCTTCAGACTTCTTCTTCTTTGGACTTTATATGGCGGTTGGCAACCAATTTTAAGATGCATTACCACCAACAACTGGACTGGAGTGTGGACCTCAGTTCATCTTTCAATCACCCACGTGGGTATATGCTCCTAAAATTCAATGAGGAGATGGGAGAGGCGGGACTTGCAGCGCGTCAAGGGTCACAAATAGTTCTTTGACAAGCGCAAGCAGTGTTGGCGCAGACTGAATAACATGTACACTACCAGTCAAAAGTGTTAGAACACCTACTCATTCAAGGGTTTTTCCTTATTTTTACTATTTTCTACATTGTAGAATAATAATAAGACATCAAAACTATGAAAAAACACATATGGAATCATTTAGTAACACAAAAAGTGTTAAACAAATCAACATGTATTTTTTTGAGATTCTTAAATTATTATATATATTTTTTTTTACCTTTATTTAACTAGGCAAGTCAGTTAAGAACAAATTATTATTTACAATGACGGCCTAGAAGGAATTTATTTCCTTCTTAATGCGTTTGAGCCAATCAGTTGTGTTGTGACAAGGTAGGGGGGTATACAGAAGATAACCCTATTTGGTAAAAGACCAAGTCCATATTATGGCAAGAACAGCTCAAATAAGCAAAGAGAAACGACAGTCCATCGTTACTTTAAGACATGAAGTCCAGTCAATATGGAACATTACAGGAACTTTGAAAGTTTCTTCAAGTGCAGTCGCAAAAAACATCAAGCACTATGATGAAACTGGCTCTCATGAGGACCGCCACAGGAATGGAAGACCCAGAGTTACCTCTGCTGCAGAGGATACATTCATTAGAGTTGCCAGCCTCAGAAATTGTAGCCCAAATAAATGCTTCACAGAGTTCAAGTGAAAATAATAAAAATAAAGAAAAACCCTTGAATGAGTAGGTGTTCTAAAACTTTTGAACGGTAGTGTATGTGTACATTTATTTTACAACGCGAGCGGTGTGGTCAGCCTATGGCGGCAGATTGAAGAGGGTGGCATTTTCTGAGCTAAACTGACCGAGACGCACCTTCAACAACACATAAAACCTCACATAATTCTGCCCCAAAACAATGACAATTTCTCTCAACCAGTGGCATATGGGCTTTTTAGGTGAGTGCTGATGCCGCCATTCCCAGTGCGCATCTCCAGGGTTCTGTTGGAGAAATGCATCGCTGCCACACTCCATCAACATTCAGTCAAAAAAAAAAAAAAACATAAATCATAGCAGATATCGAATATGGTAGAATAGGGGCAGCAGGTAGCTTAGTGGTTAAGAGCGTTGTGCCAGTAACCGAAAGGTCGCTGGTTCTAATCCCCGAGCCAACTAGGTGAAAAATCTGTCGATGTGCCCGTGAGCAAGGCACTTAACCCTAATTGCTCCTGTAAGTCGTTCTGGATAAGAGCGTCTGCTAAATGACTAAAATGTAAATGTAGAAAGAGTATGTGGTCTATTCTGTGGCCTACAGGCTGGAGATAAAATGTATGACAATGTAATGAGACAGACACTTTTTACATCATGCAGATTTCTCAGATCAAATAGCCTAACTTAAATGGCACCCAATCAAATAAAAAATGTGCCGACATGTTAACAAACAACATATCCTAAAAACAGGACAGGTCAAAGTAAAATGGACAATGTGGAATGGATAATCTGGCTACTCACAACTGCTGTCCAGGAGTTTCACCCCGTAGGCTAAATTGTCATTTTCAGTGGTTTCAAGTTTGTATCCATCAATTTTTGACGAGCTGATAATTACATTTACATTTTAGTCATTTAGCAGACACTCTTATCCAGAGCAACTTACAGGAGCAATTGGGGTTACGTGCTTTGCTCAAGGGCAAATCAACAGTTTTTTCACCCAGTCAGCTTGGGGATTCGAACCAGCGACCTTTCGGTTACTGGCCCAACACTCTTAACCACTAGGCTACCTGCTGCGAAAAAGAAAATATTTACAGTGCATTCAGAAAGTATTCAGACCCTTTGACTTTTCCACATTTTCTTATGTTACAGCCTTATTCCAAAATTGATTAAATTGTTGTTTTCTTCCTCATCAATATACACACAATACCACATAATGACAAAGCAAAAACTGTTTTTTAGACATTTTGGCACATTTATTAAAAATAAAAAACTGAAATATCTGAAACTCTTCAAGACTGTTTCGAAAAGCATTCCAGGTGAAGCTGGTTAAGAGAATGCCAAGAGTGTGCAAAGCTGTCATCAAGGCAAAGGGTAGCTACTTTGAAGAATCTAAGATATATTTTGATTTGCTTAACACTTTTTTGGTTACTACATGATTCCATATGTATTATTTCATAGTTTTGATGTCTTCACTATTATTCTACAATGTAGAACATAGTAAAAATAAATAAAAACCCTGGAATGAGTAGGTGTGTCCAAACTTTTGACTGGTACTGTACATTTTTACTCATATCTTTTTTTTATTAATATTTTTCAGGGGGTGTTGCAGCACCCTCAGCACCCCTACTTCCTGCGGCTATGCATTGAAGGTCAGTTAATGTTGCATGGAATGACTCAAAAGATTGATGGACATGCAGTAGATGTTGAGAAAATAAGTTAAACAGTAACATCAAGCTCTTACAGTATATACACATTTGTATGCATGACTGGTTTTATCTGCATCTATAGCTAGGTTTCCATCCAATTGGGGACAGATTTTAAATACGAATATTCTCAAATCCGCATAAAAACAAATGCACATTTTCCCACCAAAGATGTTTCCATCAAATTGGCTAGTTGCGAATAAAAGGCTGTGCGAGTGCACATAAAATTACTTTTGCAGTGAAATTCCCATTTACCGAATAAAAAATACAAGTTAAATGGTTTTCCATCGCATTTTCAACTCTACTGATGGTTATGTCACAAAACATTTTGTTATATTGCGAATGTCCCATTCTGGTATTGGCACGGGCGCTCTAGCCAACAGCTCGCACTAGCAAATAGTGTGGGTATAGCCTACTACATTATAAGATTATTATTATATTTTTGGGGGGGTCAAATGGCAGCCAAGAATCAATCATCATGTCACCTGAATAAGACCCTCGATACGTATTGAAAATTAGCATCAAACTCATCACCGTGTACTTTCACCACCCAGTGAAGTTCATAACTTTTCATCTGTAGCCTTACCTACCAAACTGCATGCTTTCCCGACTCCTAGTGGGAGGCCCACAAAATATCATCACGTGACTCCAATTTCCTTCGATATGATGGTTATTATATCAATATTTGCACATAAAAGCATTTCCATCGCCATTTCTCGCCTAATACATTTTTGAAACAAAAAGATCCCACCTTGTCTAGCGTGTTTTGTTTTGTCGACATTTGGAAAGTTCAGACAAATTTGCTGTTTCCATCAGGCCTGTCATGACATGTTTTATCCAACATGTCCTTTACTCACCTAAAAAGGTTGGATGGAAACCTGGTTTGCCAAAAAGCAAACAGAGCTTGTAAAAACATGGTATTTTAGACTCTCGCCCTCTCTCTACCTGCTGACTCGACCTCTGAATGCTTGGCTATGAAAAGCCAACTGACATTTACTCCTGAGGGACTGAACTGTTGCACCATCTACAACCACTGTGATTATTATTTGACCCTGCTGGTCATCTATGAACATTTGAACATATTGAAGAACAATCTGGCCTTAATGGCCATGTACTCTTATAATCTCCACCCGGCACAGCCAGAAGAGGACTGGCCACTCCTCTGAGCCTGGTTCCTCTCTAGGTTTCTTCCTAGGTTCCTGCCTTTCTAGGGAGTTTTTCTTAGCCACCGTGCTTCTACATCTGCATTGCTTGCTGTTTGGGGTTTTAGGCTGGGTTTCTGTATAGCAATTTGTGACATCTGCTGATGTAAAAAGGGCTTTATAAATACATATGATTGTATGGTTCAGTATTACTATTTGTCCTTACATTAAAATTGTTAAAAACATGTTTAAACAATTACCAAATCATTAATCTATAGCTGGTCACATGAAGGTATGCAAGGCACCAATCAGGATCCCGGTCATTAACCAGGTTCCCATCCAACCTTTTTATGCAAGTAAAGTACATGTCAGATAAAAAATGTTATGACAGGCCTGATGGAAAAAGAACATTTTTCAGTAAACTTTCCAAATGTTGACTAAACTAAATACGCTAGACAAGGTGGGATCTTTTTGTGTTGGTAAAATGAATTATGCGAGAAATATCGGTGGAAACACTTTTATGTGCAAATATTGATATAATAACCATCATATCGAAGTAAACTTGGGAGTCAGGCGATGACATGTTGTGGTCCTCCCACTACGACTCGTAGGGAAAGCATGCAGTTTATTAGGCTAAAGATAAAATAAGTTATGAACTTCACAGGGTGGTGAAAGTGTAAGGTGATGAGCTTGATGCTCCTTTCCAATAAATATCGAGGGTCTTATTCTGGTGACATGATCATCGATGCTTGGCTGCTGTTTGACATACATCAAATAATCTCGCTCTTTTGTCCATAATAATCTCATCATGTAGGCTATACGTGCGCTCTAGCCAACAGCGATGCCAATACCAGAGTGGGCACACTCACTCTGTAATGCAAAATGTTTTGTGTGAAAACCATCAGCAGAGTTGAAAATGCGATGGAAATCCATTTAACTTGGGGTTTTCCTTATTCGGTACATGGGAATCTAACCGCAAAAGCTATTTTTAGTTGCACTACATCATCACGCACAGCATTTTATCTGTCAATTTGATAGGAACACATCTCTGGTGGGAAAATGCGTTTTATGCGGATTTTAGAATATTCGCATGAAAATCTGTCGCCAATTGGATGGAAACCTAGCTAGTGATGTGTGCTTTACAGTACACATAGCAGTTTACAGTGAAAAAAAATATCCAACAAGGAGGGTCTCTACACAAAAAGTCCTCTTCTGTTCTCACCTTTAACATCGAGGACCACTTTGGAAACGTGTATTAAGGAATACTTTTTAGTGTTATCCTGTGGGAATACATTTTACACTTGTTGTATATGTTTTTACCCAAATTCAAACTCAACGAGTAGCCAGTTACCAAATAGCTTCCAGATGCTACTACAGAACTCCTTATTTAATGCAAGTAAAAGAAAACATGCAGTTTTGCATTATGCCTTTTTTACTCGTTTGCTGTACAAATCCAGAAACAGATGTGCACTCATCATCAAATAAGTAACATGTGAATGCAACAGTGCTTGTATAAGTATTTTTATATCAATTATTACTGGCCTTGTACAATACTGGCATCATTATATTATCTTTAGCCATACAATGGAAAGCATGGATAACCTACAGTGATCCCATTTTATTTAACAGTTCAGTGTTAAAGCCTAGGTGTCATGACTTTCTCCTTCTTGCACAATCTCCTGAAGGATCTTTTGGTAGAAAGGGGAATAAACCAACTTGTTGAAGTGGACTAGACGGCCAAACTTCATGGCAATCTCTTCCAGCTCTTTGCTGACAGGAGCTAGGCCTCCTGGCAGGGTTGGAGCACTCCTGTGACTGGACTCGAGGAAGGCAAGCAGGTAGGTCTGGATGCGGGAGTCTGAGTAAGGAAAGAATGTTCATGCTCAGAGGGTTAAAGTGACACAGTAGCGCAACAAACTAGGTATGCTATCATCACAAGCAGATCATGTCATTGGCATGAGCACACATGTAAACGATGATCAAAGAATAGACAGAAGATACAGACCCAAACTATATTTTGCACAGAACTTTATTGAGGGGAATTGGGGATGGCATTGGCAAAATACATTAAACTGTGGTTAGGTTACCTATAAGCTTGCGGATGGCATTGTCTGGGAGAGTAACAGCCGAGATCTGGCCTTTCAGAATGTTCTGCCGGTTGGCGGAGAACGGGGAGAAGCCATGTTCAGACAGACATCCACTTAGTTCCACACACATCCTCTCTCCAATGGTAGCCAAGGCTTCATCTGCACTGAAAGACCTTCAGACCAAAGTTAAGGGTTGGGCGAGTTCATAAATTCACAAAATGAATGAGGGCTCTGGGTATTATGTATGACAAACACGAGTAGTCACTACGCCTAATGTAGTAGAACACGGTTATGAGTATATTCAAGTGTGTGTATGAGCATTCATACTGTGTGTGTTTAAATGTGTACTTACGGCATGTACATCTCTGTGAGCAGAACCCTGATGGTCCTCTTCAGTCTGTCCATAAGGCCTGGCAGGCCTGAGATGGCCTCCCCTGTGGTGTTGTACACTATGAGTAGCACAGACGCCACCCGAACCAGCTGCTCCAAGTCCTGCTGCATTTCCTGGAAACGCACCTGGTCCATGAGAAGAGTCTGGGACAAAGGAAAAAGACAGAGAGAACATATAAAAGTGATGATTTGATTTTGAATTTTAAGACCCCTTTAGGTATAAAAACAATATATTTGATAGAATATCAAATTTGGCCTTTACTACTATAGCCCATAAAAACGCATTGAATAAAACATTCATAAATGGAAAAGACAGTCAAAAAATAAATAATAAAGAATAAGGTTTTGAAGTGTCTGTCCTATATCTAGAAGATATAAGAAAGCTCAGGAAATATTGTTGGGTTTTTTGACATACAGTACTTAACCCCTTATTATTGTTGGCACAGAACTACCTCCATACTTCCATTCATTTGTATGGGTTACCTTCAGACAAGTCCTGTGGGGTCATATTAGTTTGTAGCCCAAATGGTTTGGACGCTACAGACAGAAGTTGGCACATAAGCGTTACAATTCGGACGCTACAGATGTTTTTGTGAGATGATCTGGATGTCTCATGGTCTGACAAACACCGCAGTAGCTCAGCCACCTTCCACCGGAGATGCGGAAGGCCAACATAGGCAAATGCGGTGGAATGAGACGCAGCAAAAAACGGATATCTCAAGCTTAAACTGATGGATTTTAGTGGGGATTCTTAAAATGTTGTTACTTAGATTGACGCACAGGTGCATCAATAGACTCTTAAGGATTATTAACCACTGTTAGGCCTGTATGAGGTGTGTGACAGACAAGCCTACCTCAGGGAAAGGATCAGAGGCGTGGTTCCACTTAAGCAGACGCAGGTAAGCATGGTTGTGCACAGTGAGAGGAGTGGGTGAACTACCCGCCCCACCCGCTTGTTCTTCATGAAGTACAGATTTAGCAGAGTCTTGAAGCCACTTCTCCGTAAAGTCTAAGGCGTCTGCAAAAGTCTGCATGTTACTCCACAAACATTTCCATTATCTACAGTAAGAGCCAGCACAACACAGCTTAAGTGGGATTTTGTTCAACCAGTGATGATTGAAGCATTAGTGATTAACAATGATCAGTTGTGAGACGCTAATGATGTCCTCCTTACTGGGTTGTTTTTCGACAAACTCCTGGAATTTCTTCCGTTCATACTCAACGGATTGCTGCAGGAGGTGGGGTCGGATGCTGCTGACTGCAAAATTGGCCATATCAAGTTTCATTTTATCCATCACTGGAAATATCGCCCTATGAGACAGAGTATGACCATTTTAAAGTAGTGACAGGGATGAAGACATTCCAAGCACAAATCTTAGTCAAATAAGGCCTTATGTTAGAATGACAAAAAGAGGGAGACATCAATTGTGTCACATGAACATATCTATCATTCAAAACATAACCCCATTCCAGCACTAAAAAGTATTGACTGCCAACTTACTTTAATAGAGGCACAAGGTCTGTGATTTCCCGAAGCTTCCTGATTTCCTCATCCCGGCTCGGAGCGCAGAGTGAACCCATCATACCAATGACAAACTCAACCACCTTACTGATGTCCAGAGCTCCGTTCTCTGCCTGCTGCTGGATCAGAGAGAGGTCTAGCACCTCCTCAATTCGCCCCCTCAACCGACCATGTCCCGGAAGCAGAAAGGACAGCAGAGTCTACAGTGGTAGAGAGAATGACCTTTTAATGAAAATTGCTCTTCTGAATGATAAAACATAGATGCGGTAAAGAGGTCAATGGAACTCGACCAAAACATGTTTCAAGTTTTAATGTCACATGCACAAGCACAGTGAAATGCCTATCTTGCAAACTCAAAACCCAACAATGCAATAATCAATAACAATGTATTACTAGAAGAAGAAAAAAACTAGAGAAATAAGAATAAAAAATATGTAAACACGTGGGGGGAAAGATGCCGAGGGGGAAATATCATGAATATCCTCATTGCTCTCCAGCAAAATTAGCCTACATGTAGGTTATTGTTTATATGTGTCTTTCACACTTGAGATAAACATCTGAGTGTAATGCTTCTATGGATTTCAACCCCAATACATATTCATGTCATCGTCACCAATCAACTGCATTACAGTTAAAAAACGACTTTGAATACCACCACTGATTTCTCTATGCTAGCTATGCTACCAGCTTATACGAACGGGAGTTAGCATTTAGCAGTCACTTCTTCTAAACCTGAAAAGGGACTACTAAATGTTATGCAGCGAAAATATATCCAAATCGGACTTTAGTAACCACATTGTGGGCCTGATACGATACATCAATCGTGACGGATTTGACGAATATCTACTTTGTTAGATCAGAATTGTTGAATGTATGCCAATCAGGCGTCATTCTTCTGTCCCCCACGGTCTGCAGTCCATAGACCTCTTTACTGCATCTATGGCCTAGCAACAGCTGTCTTACCTCTTTGATCTCAGCAAGAAGTTTGATGGCGTGATTATATGATGGCGGGTTCTCACTCAGTTGTGCCTCCAGAATGTCCCAGAATGCTTTATGCATAATTTCCTTCACTATTTTTTCGAAACTGGGAGCACAGCAAGAATAATCATTTAAATGGAAATACAAAATGTGAAAATAGCATATTTATAAAACGTGGATGCTAGCATCAGTACATCAGGTCTTACAATTGTGCATGGCACAGCAATCAGAATACATAGTGACTGCCACTTCTATAAGACTATCCATTGAGCTCACCTTCCTTCTGCTGGCTCTGAGGGCTTCACCTGGAAGTCAGTATTCACTACGATCTCATGGGCCAGGGCCATGTTGGTCACACCTTTAGCCGTCTCCATGAGCTCCTCCACTGACACAAACCTTGGTGGGCTGGCTGTGAAACAGGGGTGCAACGGCAACAGGTTATGCAGCTCTAAAACAGGATGTGGACCAACTTATACTTAAATGACATCTGTTAGTTCTGGACTTCAAGCCTTCAAATAGTACACCTGATTTTGAACCATTGAGGCAGCTAGGTTGTGGCTAGATGCATAAATTGTCAAAATCATACTTTTTTTGTCGTTTCAGGGAGAATGTTATTATTTTAACTAACCCTAAACCTAACCATTGTCCTAACCTTAACCCAATTCTCCTAACCTGCTACAAAAAGTAAAATCTGTTTGTAGCTGTATACCATCTAGTTCTCACCCTATAGGTGCTACTCACATTGTGGGGTGTTCCCTCTGTGAGGACTAGGTGTGCCTCTCCGGACACTCTTACTATGGGACTGTTCAGAGGAGTCAGTCCTGTCCTCTCCACCCCCAGGTTTGTCAGAGTCCTTGGGCATGTTGCTCCTCTCACTTCAGTCCAGGGACTGAAACATTTAAGTTTGGATAAATTAGGATAAGAAACATTTCAGTTGTGTGATGCCTGACCACTAGCCTCTACGAATCAGAGAGTGGAAGACTCCTCTCTAGTTTCTAACATGTATGCTCACTTTTTGTGAACAGTCCCATCACAAGTCAGACTGTTGAATAAACTTCACTTGAACGTACTTTACCTGTTGTCCGCTGATTTTGTCCTTATGTAGGAGGTAATCTGAGCCAAAATAGCCACAGAGTACTGTTATTAACACTACTTTCAGTATGGTGGTCTGTACTTCGGTTTGTATTTTCAATGCTGCTGCAATTCGGACACGATTTGCACAATATGTCAACAATAGCTGAGTTTAACCAAATCACAGACCAAACGTTGTCCCACACAATCAGCTGACAAATTTCACAATCACTTACAGCTGATTGCAAGGGAAGAGCTTTGGTCGACAACATTTGGTTACATTCAGCTATTGTTTACATATTGTGCATCACGTGAAATGCATCAGGAGATGGAAAATACAAGCAAGCAACAGAACCTGGCGCCGCAAAAACTCGGGTAAACAACACTTTCCTGTGGTTACCCTATCTCCACCTCCTACCTCCAAAACGACCAACAGCATGGACAACGGATAAAATACCTTTAAATATCACTGTATTCAACATTCTGACTTGTAGAGACAGACTATTGCGTTTTTTTTTTTACGGTGACTTCTTTCAGACTGATAGCATGGAGTAACCATGGTAACAGTCTGACGTTTAGATAACCTGACCACAACACATGCATTAAGACAACTTAAAGAAGACAGTACATCGCACCATCCTACTGGTGTGATTGCAAACAAAAACAATCAGAGCTCATTTGGCTTCAGATCATATGATCACTGGCGCATAACAAACAATGCACAGTTCTGTCAGGGCTAAACCAATGGTGATTTCAATGACATCACCGAGTCTTTATATCTCAACAGCAGACATAGCCTAACTTACATGAGCAAGCAAGCAAAACACTATTATTGTGAGCAACATACCGTATACTGGTTAGCTAGCTAGCTGGCAGGGTAGATTCTTTCGGTCAGACTTTCGCCAGACCTGAAATGAATGGACAGTGGAGTGATGGAGTAGTTGTCTCTCTGCTGGCTGGCAACAACAAAACAATAACGTGTGACACAGCGATTCGTTACATACTGCCAGACTTTCATCTGGCTGCTAGGCTAACTATAGCTTCGATGCAACTAGGAGAGTTTTGACAGCACAATGTAACAACTATCTTGGTTGCATGGAAGCTAGGCTAGGTAGTGTTACATGTAAAACAACGATAATCAATTTGGTTACCTAATCAAAGTGTACTTCTGGCATGGTGAATTAAGTTACATAGCTAGCTAAATGCGTTGTTGATCTCTGGTGAAAATGAAGAACGTCTTCCGGCATTGGGTGGGGCCAAAGTGACGTCAAACTTCGACCACTCTCGTCGTGACGTCACTGCTAAATTAATTCTCAGATGGGAGATGGCTACAATATTTATGACTGCAATGTGTCCCTCAACACAAAAACACGGAAACTTAAAGACAAATAAGACTGACGCAATCAGAGTTCTCCCACTTGAGTTAAATTAAAATACCATTGGTCTCCATGTATTAAAATAATTAGATTATTTAAATGTAATTCATAATGCATGTTTACAAAGTTTGTCTTAGCAGGCCTATACAAACATGTACAAAGTGTGATCTTTTGACAAAATTGACACTGGCTACACACTGACAGCAAACATAGAATCCCCAAAATTCTGAACAAATATTTCTGGGTGGCCTTAGTAAAATTGACTGAGGAGGCATTTCTTCTCTTTGGTGGAGTACTTTGGATCAGTGGAGGCTGGTGGGTGCAGTTCCAGGCATAAGCGACATAAGCGGTTGCTTAGGGGCCATGGCCGCTAGGTGGCCCCTGACCAAAATAAATAAATATACACTGAATAAAATTATAAACTCAACATGTAAAGTGTTGGTCCCATGTTTCATTAGCTGAAATAAAAGATCCCAGAAATTTTCCATATGCACAAAAAGCTTATTTCTCTCAAATTCTGTGCACAAATGTGTTTACATCCCTCTTAGTGAGCATTTCCCCTTTGCCAAGATAAATGTATTTTTTATTTTACCCTTATTTTACCAGGTAAGTTGACTGAGAACACATTCTCATTTGCAGCAATGACCTGGGGAATAGTTACAGAGGAGGGGGATGAATGAGCCAATTAGAAGTTGAGGATGATTAGGTGGCCATGATGGTATGAGAGCCAGATTGGGAATTAAGCCAGGACACCGGGGTTAATGGCACGTTCAAAACAACTGGGAGCTCGCAACTCGGAAATCTCCGACTTCCGACTTCAGTGTGTTCAAAACAACTGGGAACTCAGAAAAAAACAAGCTCTGACTGGGAAAAATCGATTTGAATTGTCATCCAACTTGGAATTCCAACTCGGGAACTCGGGCCTCTTTCTAGAGCTCCGACTTTCCGACCTGAAGATCACTGACGTCATGATTTGACCTTGTATTTTTCAGAGTTCCTAAACTACAGGGAACTCGGAAAAATACAAGGTCAAATCATGACGTCAGTGATCTTCAGGTCGGAAAGTCAGAGCTCTAGAAAGAGGCCCAAGTTCTCGAGTTGGAATTCCGAGTTGGATGACAATTCAAATCGATTTTTCCCAGTCGGAGCTTGTTTTTTCCCCAGAGAGTTAAGACACCCAAATATCCCATCCGAAAAACGGCACCCTACACAAGGCAATGTCCCCAATCACTGCCCTGGGGCATTGAGATATTTTTTTTGACCAGAGGAAAGTGCCTCCTACTAGCCCTCCAACACCACTTCCAGCAGCATCTGGTCTCCCATCCAGGGACCAATCCTGCTTAGCTTCAGAGGCAAGCCAGCAGTGGGACGCAGGGTGGTATGCTGCTGAAACTCGGTAGGCATGGGCTCTCCAACCATGTTCCTGCAGCTACCCAGTGCTTAATTTGGGAAACCAAGTGAAATCTGTTCGGGAACATCGATGGTGAAATGTTTTCGCAACTAAACATGTTTCACTAAACTGTTGACAGCCCTTCTGCATGCTCGAGAAAGGAATAAGGGAGAGAGAGGATGAGATGGAAACGCATGGTGGTGAGATATTCTGTATAGCTAAAGGTAATGTGCCACCCAATTAATTATGAAAATATAAACAATTCCCTATTACTAGGCTTTTCAAAATCCAATACAAATTCAGTATAATTGTAGGCTACCTGTAAGCTGCCCTGCACAATCAACGAACCAACAGCATCGCCTAGGGCTACACATTCTCTCCCAGACTCATGGATAGACATTTTGGAGCTTAGCATAAGCTAACCAGTCCATCCAGTATGCATAATAATACAGTCCACACTCAAAGGCGGTTACAAACATTTGTTTAATTTTGGAGTATAAGCTAGCCCATTTATGTACCAAAGACATCTTAAATCAGTTTATTTTATGTTTTTCTGCCATGCAGTGAAGTGAGTTTTAAAAGCAGGATACTGTTTTGATAAGTGTTTGATGTGATTTTCGATATAATTTGCATTGATGTCAGAGTGGTTAGAGGGACAATAGAGCCCTGAGTACCAGGCCATTAGCTCAGGTCATTAGTGAGATGGGTACTACCAAAGCATGTCCAGAGTGCATAAGAGGAGATTACGTGACTCAAGGTCATGTGGAATTTTACTGCAGTCATGACTCATGACTGCTGATGTGACAGTAATACAGTCACCCCAACAGCCCTATGCACAACCGAAGAATTTTGTCAGAAACTGTCAGAAACCGTCTCAGGGAAGCTCATCTGCGTGCTCGTCGTCCTCACCAGGGTCTTAACCTAACTGCAGTTCGGCATCGTAACCGACTTCAGTGGGCAAAGTGTGCTCTTCACAGATGAATGCCGGTTTCAACTGTACCGGGCAGATGGCCCAGTGTACCGTTGTGTGGCCGAGCGGTTTGCTGATGTCAACGTTGCCCCATGGTGGTGGTGGGGTTATGGTATGGGCAGGCATAAGCTACGGACAATGAACACAATTGCATTTTATCGATGGCAATTTGAATGCACAGAGATACCGTGACGAGATCCTGAGGCCCATTGTTGTGCCATTCATCCGCCGCCATCACCTCATGTTTCAGCATGATAATGCACGGCCCCATGTCACAAGGATCTGTACACAATTCCTGGAAGCTGAAAATGTCCCAGTTCTTCCATGGCCTGCATACTCACTAGACATGTCACCCATTGAGCATGTTTGGGATGCTCTGGATCAATGCGTATGACAGCATGTTCCAGTTCCCGCCAATATCCAGCCATTGAAGACTAGTGGGACAACATTCCACAGGCCACAATCAACAGCCTGATCAACTATATGCGAAGGAGATACAGTGCATTAGGAAAGTATTCAGACCCCTTTCCACATTTTGTTACGTTACAGCCTTATTCTAAAATGGATTAAATTGTTTTTTTCCCTCATCAATCTACGCACAATACCCGATAATGATGAAGAAAAAACAGGTTTTTAGAAATTTTTGCAAATGTATATATAAAAAAAACTGGAAATATCACATTTACATAAGTATTCTGTCCCTTTACTCAGTAATTTGTTGAAGCACCTTTGGCAGCGATTACAGGCTCGAGTCTTCTTGGGTATGACGCTACAAGCTTGCCACACCTGTATTTGGGGAGTTTCTCCCATTCTTCTCTGCAGATCCTCTCAGGCTCTGTCAGGTTGGATGGGGAGCGTCGCTGCACAGCTATTTTCAGGTCTCTCCAGAGATGTTCGATTGGGTTCAAGTCCGGGCTTTGGCTGGGCCACCCAAGGACTGTCAGACTTGTCCCGAAGGCCACTCCTGCATTGTCTTGGCTGTGTGCTTAGGGTCGTTGTCCTTTTGGAAGGTGAACCTTCGCCCCAATCTGTAGTCCTGAGCGTTCTGGAGCAGGTTTTCATTGAGAATCTCTCTGTACTTTACTCCATTCATATTTTTCTCGATCCTGACCAGTCTCCCAGTCCCTGCTGCTGAAAAACATCCCTACAGCATGATGATGCCACCACCATCCACATTAGGGATGGTTTCAGGTTTCCTCCAGACGTGACGCTTGGCATTCAGGCCAAATAGTTCAATCTTGGTTTCTTCAGACCAGAGAATCTTGTTTTTCATGGTCTGAGTCCTTTAGGTGCCTTTTGGCAAACTTTAAGCGGGCTGTCATGTGTCTTTTACTGAGGAGTGGCTTCCGTCTGGCCACTCTACCATAAAGGCCTGATTGGAGGAGTGCTGCAGGGATGGTTGTCCTTCTGGAAGGTTCTCCCATCTCCACAGAGAAACTCTGGAGCTCTGTCAGAGTGACCATCGGGTTCTTGGTCACCTCCCTGACCAAGGCCCTTCTCCCCCGATTGCTCAGTTTGGCCTGGCTGCCAGCTCTAGGAAGAGTCTTGGTGATTCCAAACTTCTTCTATTAAGAATGATGAGGCCACTGTGTTCTTGTGGACCTTCAATGCTGCAGAAAATGTTTGGGACTGTTTCCCAGATCTGTGCCTCGACACAATCCTGTCTCGGAGCTCTACGGACAATTCCTTCGACCTCATGGCTTTTGCACTGACATGCACTGTCAACTGTGGGACCTTATATAGACAGGTGTGTGCCTTTCCAAATAATCTCCAATCAATTGAATTTACCACAGGTGGACTTCAATCAAGTTTTAGAAACATCTCAAGGATGATCAATGGAAACATGATGCACCTGAGCTCAATTTCTTGTATCATAGCAAAGGTTCTGAATACTTATGTGAATAAGGTATTACAGTTTGTTATTTTAAATAAATTTTCTAACATTTCTAAAAACCTGTTTTCGCTTTGTCATTACATTTACATTTTAGTCATTTAGCAGACGCTCTTATCCAGAGCGACTTACAGTTAGTGAATACATCTTTTTTTTTTTTTTTTTTATACTGGCCCCCCGTGGGAATCAAACCCACAACCCTGGCATTGCAAACACCATGCTCTATCAACTGAGCTACATCCCTGCCGGCCATTCCCTCCCCTACCCTGGACGACGCTGGGCCAATTGTGCGCCGCCCATGAGTCTCCCGGTCGCGGCCGGCTGCGACAGAGCCTGGATTCGAACCAGGATCTCTAGTGGCACAGTTAGCACTGCGCCACTCAGGAGTACATTATGGGGTATTGTTTGTAGATTGATGAGGGAGATTTTTTATTTAATCCATTTTAGAATAAGGCTGTAACGTAACTAAATGTGGAAAAAGTCAAGGGGTCTGAATACTTTCAGAATGCACTGTACATGATAAGATTATTATGGACAAAAGAGATTACTTTTATTTGTCAAACGGTAGCCAAGCATCGATCATCATCACGTCACCAGAATAAGACCCTCGATAATTACTGGAAAGTAGCATCAAGCTCATCACCTTGCACTTTCACCACCCTGTGAAGTTCCTCATAATTAATTTAATCTGTAGCCTAATAAAGTGCATGGTTTCCAAACAAGTCATAGTTGGAGGGTCACACAACATGTCATCGCGTGACTCCAAGTTTACGTCGATATGATGGTTATTATATCAATATTTGCACACAAAAGCGTTTCCACCGACATTTCTCTCATAATTAATTTTACAGACAAAAAGATCCCACCTTGACTAGCGTATTTAGTTTTGTCTACATTTGGAAAGTTTACTGACAAATGTTCTGTTTCCATCAGGCCTGTCATGACATTTTTTATCCAACATGTCCTTTACTCACCTAAAAAGGTTGGATGGAAACCTGGTTACATACGGTCACTCAATTAGCCATGTCAGCTAACAATTTTTAGATGGGTAAGTTAGTCTAGCCAGTTATCTAAACATTGCCGAATACCAACCGGGCACGCATGGCACCCGCCCAGGGGCCATGACCTGAAACATTTTCTCTACGCCACATGACAAAATGTGTAGAATTGCAGGAAATGAACTTTAAAACATAAATGTTTCTCTCCACCATCAAATCTCGCATAGGTCCCCCAAAAGGCTAGAGCCGGCACTGAGTGGGAGGAGTTATAGGAGGACGGGCTCATTGTAATGACTGGAATGGAATTAATGGAATGGTATCATACACATCAAACATATGGAAACTGTTCCATTTATTCCATTCCAGTCATTACAATAAGCCCTTCCTCCTATAGCTCCCCCCAACAGCCTCCTCTGATTTGACTCATTGTTCATATTCCTCAGTAATGCCAACAGCTCTACATTTGTTGTTCTTTGAGTATAGTCTGTATAAGCCTTTGTTAAGACTTGCTGACAGAAGGTGGAGCCTAAGGATAACGGAGAGAGCAAAATGTGAAACATCTGAGTCAGAGCACTCTCCACAAAGACTACTGCCAGATAGATAATGTACCTGTCACATCTGGTTGTTTCCCTTGCACAACTCTGGCGAGTTTGTCACTGACCAGCTTGTGCAAAGATTCTGGTATCTGAAAAAAAAATCTATTAAGCAATGTATCAAATGTAATGATGTAATGAATGCATGTTCATAAGAAATTCTCACAACATACAATGTTAATAAAAAATTGGATTTATATAGCTTTTCAAGGACCCAAAATAAAATCAGTCACTGCTCTATATACAAAACAAGAATACCTTAAAAATATTATGGTGATTGTCCAGCATGAACAGCACCAGAAGGTCCACTTTCTCTTTGGCTAGAGATTTGCTGTGGATGATGGCTCTGGAAAAAGCTATCTTCATAAACATTTTTTGTTCTCAATCTGAAAATGAGACCATATAATGACTATAGTAATTCCAACATAATTTGAAACAGAATATATTCTGGTTAATCAAGATCTGAATTAGAATGCTCTGACTCCATACAGAAATAATTGTCCCATAACAGTAACTGACCCTGACCCATGTGCATTAGCCTTCCGGTCTCACCTCTTTGTCCAACTTGATTTCCAGTGGGTCTGCAGCCATAGACATGAAGCACATTAATGTGCACAGCTCCTCCCACTTCACTTACGATGGTGCAGTTGCTTCAAACACAACTGCAATGCCTCCAGAGCTTTATCAAACTGCATTCACTGAAAAAAGAAGCACATGTTAAATCTTCGATTTAAACAACAACAAAGCAGTCACACCACCACAGTTTTGGGTAAACAGCTTAGGGGTGGGTCTGGAGAAATGTAACCACTTTCAAATTCGTAGACGGGACTATGAATGAAAGGACTGACCATCCGTGAGATTAAAATTATAGTTTTAACCATGTTTTGAAGCTATACAGTGTTTGTTTACAACTACATTGTTTACAAACAATGGCGTAAAACAAGCTTATATTTTGCGTTCTGATGAACTAAGCTCATGACGCATTGATAAGTAATATTCTTCAAGAATAAATGGCTACATATAATTAATAAAAAATAAATGTATGTAGCAACCACAGATTGCCCCTTTAATGCAGCATTCCACATTGCTTGTGATAGAAAACGTGCCAATCATGACCTAAGTCATATGAAGTGGTCATAGGTCCAGCGGTCGGGCTGGCTGTAGTATTCACCAGTGCTTCATACAGCATCAGTTTGCATTACTGTTTGCCTGAGCAATGAGGCTGGCCCTAGCCAACACCCACAGCGTCTGGACACCTGGGCAGCTCAGGGTTCACCTCCACCACCTGCTGCTCAGACAGGAACTCCAGACAGACCAATGCTGCTGTAAGCCAATCATCCTCCCTTCAACAGAAGAAAATCTATCATTTTGTGTCACTGAAAAAACTGTTGTCCCCAGTCCCTCACCACCAGGAATATTGTACTCTGTAGGCTTGTATGAGATCTTCAATTATGGTAGAAATATTCATATCAGATATTCAATTAAGACCGATGATAAATCACACTACACACTGTGAGTCCTTGAAGGCCCTCTGTCTCATGCTCCAGGTAGTTGCTGGTGTCTTGGTCCCTCTCTGCCTTAGAAACAGATTGTCCAGCATAGGAAGCTCTACTAGCTGCAGCAGTCTCAGACTTGTCTCCTTCTGCCACACTTCATCAACCAGAGTACAGGAATGGACTTTCAACTAGTGTTCTTCAATCCTAGTCTTGGGAACCTTACATGGCTCGGCATTTAAGTTTTTGCCCGACACCAGCATCCCTGATGTACCTAGTTGAATCAGGTGTGTAAGTCCTGGGCTATAACAAACATGTGCATCCCTGTGGGTTCCCAAATGCTAAATTGAAGAGTATTCCACAATATAAACACAGTAACCAGGTTTTCATCCAGACTGTTTATGAGAGTACAAAAAATGTAACCTGATGGAAACAGCATTTTTGTTATTAAACTTTCCAGATGTCGACAAAACAAAATGCACTAGAAAAGGTGGGATCATTTCTTTGTTGGTGAAATAGATTATGCGACAATTGCGCTCAAAACGCTTTTATGTGCAAATATTGACAAAATAACCATCATGTACCCTCCTCACTGTATCTGGGAGCTGTTAGCTAGAGTGCATATGCCAAGACTAGAGTGGGCACATTTGGTGTTTATCGCAGACTTTGTCCAAAAACCATCAACAGAGATAAAAAATAGGATGGAAACTCAGAACCTTAATTTTTTTATTTGGTAAATGAAAAGTTATACAACTAGTGCTTTTTAAGTGCATCACGTCATGACGCATAGCTTTATATCTGCAACAAGTCAGTTTGATGGAAACACACCTCTTTTGCGTAAATAAAAACAAGAATAATGCAGATTTTAGAATATTTACATGAAAATACTTATCCTGTCAGAAAAACGTTGGACTCAAATGTAGAGATACTCTATAGAATGTAGTGTCTGGTTTCAATCTGACTTTACACTATGATAGTAGATGATGACTTACAGGTCTGTAGTAATGAAGTGTCAATGTGTGCTTTGCTTGGACTGATGCTCAGATTTCCCATGACAGTCTCCAACTGTTGAATGGATCTCACAGGTGTACCATGTGAATAGACTTGCTCTTCTTGCCTGCAACATTTAAAGCCAAAGTCCATCAAAACAAACAGACGTCCAATTATAGTTTTTTTTTTTATCGCTAACAAGCATTGTTCAATACTGCGGATACATGTGCAGAACTCTAAATACAGTTATCAAAACAACATGCAACTCTTCTTTTGTAAAAATGACTGTTGGTTCATCTATAAAAATATGATATTAAAGCATTGGCACATCATACATGTCTCTACCAAATGAAAGCTTACAGTCTCTCACGACATGCACACTTTGTCATTCATAGTATCATGACCTACAAAACTCTTAAGAACAGCTACCACTTGAAAATTTGTCAATTTGTCTTTAATATCACATTTTTATAGATGAACCAACAGTCATTTTTACAAAAGAAGAGTGGCAAACCTGTACTGTATAGAATGTCCTGCAAGATATGTAAAGAAATAAAGCAGAAAGGCTGCAATATGCTTCAAAACAATTTATTGTATTTTTGCAAATTACACTGTATTTTGCATTTTGCAGAATAATTCCAAAAGACACAAAAATAAATAATTCCAGTACTGTGAAACAAACAAAAAGTGTATACACACTATGAATATGCATAGCAAATTGTCCAAATGAAACAGATATATAACAATGCTAGTCAACCCTGTCTGCTGCATTGGGCCACAAGTTCTCGTCCACATCACACCGTATGGCCTCTCGCGCAATACACCTGGGAAAGAATCTCTTTGCATGCCTGATCCATCCCTGGCAATCTTCTGCAGAGCGGTGACCCGATCCTATAGGTTCATGCTCTACAACATTCGGAGAGTACGACCCTGCCTTACACAGGAAGCGGCACAGGTCCTAATAGGTTGTCATGGATACTCTGTTGGCGGGTATGTGCCAAAACACCTAAATCTTTTCCCCCAAGTTCCTCAGTCACCAGCTTCGCAGGTTCAGTGGAAGCTGATCATGCCTGCTTGCTTGGAAGGGACACGATCCGACTTCAGGCTGAAGCCCTAACCCAAACGGCATTGCGTTTATCCACCTGCCTGCGGCCCTACTCTGGGAACATAGTTCCGTCACCAGCAAACTGTTCCTGCTCTGGCACCCAATGGTGGACAGCTCCCTCACACGCCAGGACAGCGGAGTCACTACCACATTCCGGAGACATTTGAAACCCCACCTCTTTAAGGAATACCTGGGATAGGATAAAGTAATCCTTCTACCCCCCCCTTACCCCAACATTGTAAAGTGGTTATCCCACTGGCTATAAGGTGAATGCACCAATTTGTAAGTCGCTCTGGATAAGAGCGTCTGCTAAATGACGTAAATGTAAATGTAAATATCCAGGCATCCTGCATTAATTGCATCCAAGAGTGTGTCACGATCGTTGAGAGACGGGTCAGACCAAGGTGCGGTGTGGTATGCGTACATATTTATTAATGAAGATAAACACTTGACAAAACAACAAAAGCAACGTAACATGAAGTCCTATGGGCTATACTTACAACAAGCCTAACAGGAACACAACCAAGATCCCACAACTAAGGTAGGCAATCAGGCTACTTAAGTATGATCCCCAATCAGAGACAACGAGCAACAGCTGCCTCTGATTGGGAATCACACCCGGCCAAACATAGAAATACAAATACTAGATCCAACATAGAAATACAATAACATAGATCTCAAAACTGAACTCACACCCTGACCCAACCAACAAGAGTTCTCTAGGTCAGGGCGTGACAGAGTGACATTTGACCATGTGGATGGTGGTCATAAACTTTCCACCTCTATGAGGAAAATAATTATTCTATGGGGTTGTGGAAGAGAGAGTAAGGGGGGAGGAAAAGTGACACCATCCCGGGATGGGCTGCAAACCACTCTGACTGTCAAGGCGTCAGTATAATGCGGTAGGACGAAGTCAGGCGCAGGACACAGAGCTGATCGAAAAACTTACTTTACTCGTAGGTATCTCAATGAACATACCTCCACGCAGGGAGGAACAAACCCGCTCACATACGACAACCAAAAATGGACAAACACGCACAACACACAGTGTGAGCCAGAGGGTTAAATAGGGAAGACATAATTACATGATGGGAAACAGGTGAGACCAATACAGACAAAACAAGTCAAACATAGAAACATGGATCGGTAGCAGCTAGTACTCCGCTGACGACGAATGCCGAAGCCTGCCCGAGCAAGGAGGCGGGGCAGCCTCAGCTGAATTCACCACAGTACCCCCCCTTGATGCGCGGCTTCAGCCGTGCGCCGACCCCGACCTCGGGGACGGCCAGGAGGACACAGAGCAGGGCGAGTCTGATGACTACGGTGGAAATCCCTCAACATGGAGGGATCGAGGATGTCCCTCCTAGGGACCCAGCACCGTTCCTCCGGACCGTACCCCTCCCACTCCACGAGATACTGCAGGCCCCCCACCCGACGCCTCGATTCCAAGATGGAATGGACCGAGTACGCCGGTGCCCCCTCGATGTCCAGTGGGGGCGGAGGAACCTCCCGTACCTCAGACTCCTGAAGTGGACCAGCTACTACTGGCCTGAGGAGAGACATGGAACGAGGGGTTAATACGGTAATTAGGAGGAAGCTGTAACCTATAACAAACCTCGTTCAATCTCCTCAGGACTTTAACTGGCCCCACAAACTGCCGACCCAGCTTCCGGCAGGGCAGGCGAAGGTTTCGGGTCGAGAGCCAGACCCGGTCCCCCGGTGCATACACCGGGGCCTCACTGCGGTGGTGGTCGGCCCTCGCCTTTTGTCGCCTGATGGCCCGCTGCAGGCATACATGGGCAGCGTTCCAGGTCTCTTCCGAGCGCCGAAACCACTAATCCACCGCAGGAGCCTCGATCTGGCTCTGATGCCAAGGTGCCAGGACCGGCTGATAACCTAACACACACTGAAAGGGAGAAAGGTTAGTGGATGAGTGGCGGAGTGAGTTTTGGATCACTCCCCCGGCCGGTCCTGGCAATAGGACCGCAGAAACCTACCCACATCCTGGTTAACTCTCTCCACCTGCCCATTACTCTTGGGGTGAAAACCTGAGGTCAGGCTGATCGAGACCCCCAGACGTTCTATGAACGCCCTCCAGAGCCTTGAGGTGAACTGGGGACCCCAATCCGATAAAATAACCTCAGGCACCCCGTAGTGCCGGAAGACGTGTGTAAATAGGGCCTCAGCAGTTTGTAGGGGCGTAGGTAGATCTGGCATAGGAATGAGATGGCAGGACTTAGAAAACCGATCCACAACGACCAGGATCGTGGTGTCCCTTGTGAGGGGGAAGTCCGTAACAAAATCACCGATAGGTGGGACCACGCCATTGTGGAACGGTAGGGTGAATTTCCTCTGGGCAGTTGTGCTAAAGTCAGGGTCCTATAAATATTTCAAAAAAAAAAAGTGTATACACACTATGAATATGCATAGAATTGTCCAAATGAAACAGATATAAAACCCAATGCTAGTCAAACCCTGTCTGCTGCATTGGGCCACAATTCTCGTCCACATCACACCGTATGCCTCTCGCGCAATACACCTGGGAAAGAATCTCTTTGCATGCCTGATCCATCCCTGGAAACTTCTGCAGAGCGGTGACCCGATCCTATAGGTTCATGCTCTACAACATTCGGAGAGTACGACCCTGCCTTACACAGGAAGCGGCACAGGATAGCGGTGTAGGTGGTGGTGTAGTTGGAGGAGGTATAGGAAAACCTCCTCTCTCCCATCGCTCCATAATATTCACCATGCGTTCCATTGCGGTGCCGAGAGCCTGGATCATGGTCGCTTGTTGTTGGACGCGTTCCTCCATCGATCCGACTGGCATGGCTGTACCTGCTGACTCCATATTATGGTGCGTGTTTCTGTCAAGGTGTCAGTGTAATGCGGTAGGACGAAGTCAGGCACAGGACACAGAGCTGATCGAAAAACTTACTTTACTCGTAGGTATCTCGATGAACATACCACCACGCAGGGAGGAATAAACCCGCTCACATACGACAACCAAAAATGGACAAACATGCACAACACACAGTGTGAGCCAGAGGGTTAAATAGGGAAGACATAATAACATGATGGGAAACAGGAGACCAATACAGACAAAACAAGTCGAACATAGAAACATTGATCGGTAGCAGCTAGTACTCCGGTGATGACGAACGCCGAAGCCTGCCCGAGCAAGGAGGCGGGACAGCCTCGGCTGAATTCGTGACAGTGACTGCATGGGAGTGGTGAAATGCCACATTGTCCCATACAATCACCCAGGTTTCCATATTTCTTCTGACTTGCCCTCTTTCTTCACCTGGCTAAAGCCTTCCATAGAGGTCATCCATGAATGAAATGAGGCGCTCTGTGTTGTATGGCCCAATTAGTGGTTTATATAATATCCTTCAGAGGATATTGCGGCACACATTGTGATGCTGGCACCCCTCTGGCCCGGGACATTCACTGTTGCTCTTTTCCCAATCACATTCCTTCCACGTCGGCGTGTTTTGCCATGTTAAAACTAGCCTCATCCACAAAGACGAACATGTGGGGTGTTGGCCTGGCTTCAAGCTCCATGACACTCTAAAATATTGTAAATCCGCAGGGCAACATAACAGTTATTCTATAACAGTAGTTTACATTACAGTATACTGTAACTGAAATCACTGCTGAGTGTGCATTGCTCTGGTGGGTTTTGTTTACAGTAAAAACAGTACTGTATTACAGGATATAGACATCTTACCTGGACATATTGGTACCGGAGTTCCTTGACACGATCAGAGTTCCTCTCAAAGGGAACAGTGTACACCTGTTTCATGCTGATATGATGCTTTATCAAGACTCTAGCAATGGTTGTCGTGCTTACACTTTCAACATTTTGAAATGTATTATTGTCTGCCAACACTCTCTCTTGAATTTCTCTGAGTTTTATGGCATTGTTGCTAATGACCATGTCAACAATTACAGCTTCCTG